ATTGGAATTGAAAATAAAACAAGTATAAGGTAATATTTTTTATAAAATATTTTTATTTATAATTTATAATATAAAGTCAATTATATAAATGCTTGCTTACACTAGTGCCAGTGTGAGATCAAAAATTCCGTCTCACACAAATCTATTGATTTGGTTATAATATTATTTATCCCTTCCTATGGCAGTATCCAGTTGTGTAATTCTTTGATTACTTTCTTTGCTTTATAGCGTTCAAGCTATTTAACTCTCTGCAGGGTAAGTTTTCTTACTTCCCGTCCGGTAACGTTTTCTCAGCAGTTGCTATGTTTTCTGCCTGAGCCGGAACGTGTCAATTATTATCCCTTCTGATAATAATCCCAGTATCTTCCCTGATACTGTTGTGTTATATTCTGATGGTTCAGTGTTTCTTTACTGACCACACCTAGCTAGGGTTTCCACTTATTTAGGCGTTGGCCTAATCTAAAATAAAAATAAAGAAAATAAGATTAAAAGAGAATTCACACACTATACTTATCAAAGGTGTCCCTCTGGTAAGATAGCAATTAATTAATAATTAGGTCGAGTTAGAGGTTTATATGGTTTTAGGAAGCGGGTGGATAATTCCACTGGCACTAGATTATTTTAATATATATTTAGGTTTGTATTTTATTAATAAGATATTATTGTTTTTACAAGATAGTAGTTAAGAATAAATTAACTGATTAACTTCTGACTTATTATTACATGAAAGAGAAATTTACAACGTATTTATACATGTTAAAGGTTCTATCATCTAGTTATCCGACTTGTTGAAATCCTAAATTATACTAATTAATATATTCCTTAATTATTTTTTAGACCTTCCATTCAGAATTATTTTCAAGTAATTTCTAGTCATCATGAGTCATGTAGAATTCTTTCATTTAAATATTTTTCTGAGACTTTGTAATCTGTTACACTTTAGAATGTTGGAATATTTATATCTCCAATATTTGGGTTATTTTCCGAGAGCTATTTATTTGATTGGTGCGCCTTATTAATTAGTGTAACATTTATTAAATTGTACTGGTTTATTTCTTGTTGAGTTATTCCGTGATAATCGTTTCCAAATTTTCACTTCGTGATACATGTAAATCATTTCCGATTTATATGTTCGTTCCCGTGATTTATCATTTACTATTTTACATTTTTCCCCGTCTTAAGATTCAATTGTCCCAATGAATCATTTTTCTATTGTTCATTATTCTCCCAAGGATCTTGTTCCGATTCTTGATTACAGTGTGGGCAGTGGTTACTATTTGTTAATAGGATGTTTAATCTTTCCTTTGTATGTTTATGTAATCGTCTTAATTTCTTCCAATGACTCACATGAGCAGGTGTTGATGGTCTAATTGTTATTTCTATTTCCCAATTCAATATCTCCATTTCTAATTGTTGTAATTGATTTTGTAAACGATGGTATGTTTCCCAATTCATATTATTAGGTTCATTTGTCCAATGTGTTCTTCGAAACATTGTATTATGTAAATTTTGTGGAGAATTATTTTCATTTTGGTTTCTACTTGGTGATGAATATCTAACAGGTGCCATTTTCAAGAATTATAATAGAAGTATTTTCAAAAGTAATTTGATTCAAGGTAAAAAGGAATTACTTATATAATAAATTTTCAGAATGAATTTTTAGATTTTAAGAATTTCTCTTATCTAGTGTAACAATAATAATTAATTTAACTTTTTCCGAATTAAGAATAAGATTATAACTTTAATTCAAATTATATAAATAAATAATAAACAATATTAATAAGATAAGAAACAATATAAATAAATACATGATAAGATAATAACCAATAATTAATTAATACATGATTATTCAGATTTTCACTGAGTCTAAGTTTTTATATTACTTAGGCATATTATATAAATATAAAAATTAATTTTCACTGGATGAGAATTTCTTTCTTCCATCCTGACATATTCTTCTATGGTACCGAGCTTTTTGTTTCTCTGTGAGATGAGTTTTTGCATAACATTTGCAATATTGGTTTTGATTTTTCTCCTGTCGAAGGATTTCTTTTCCGAAATCCTCCTCACAAACTTCTTGTGCTTCTTCAATTATGTTATTAATTTCGTCGGTTATGGGGTCAATCCAACATGGTTCTGGATTCATATCTGTTTTAATACATAAAAATTTTCTATCATTAGTTTGTCTCAAGTCTTCATTGCTAAATGGGAAATAGCAATTATGACATAAATTGAATTTTGCCAGTTTTAACCGATTATCCTCGGTTAAATCTAGGATAGTTGGTAATCTAGCGATAGCAGCTTCTCTATTATTGTTGAAAGATTCGTTCATTCGCCAGATATATTCTTCATCATGATGGTCGTTTAAATATGTGAGGGTACTCTCCCACAGATAATCTACAGCTTCTTGAGCTTCGAAATAAGCTCTGTTTCTTGCTTCGTTCCATGTTTCTAGATTATTATTCATCCTGGTATCGTATCGTTCAGGTTCAGGTTCACCGTTTAATTTTATATAAAAGTTCCGTGCTTTTTCCAGCACTTCACTTTCATCAACTTCGTGATATTGTCCTCTTCCAGTATTAAGATAATGGTAAACCCTTGTAGGAATATGTTCAAAGGTCTGAGAACTCATTATTGCTAAATAAGCATATTTACAAGTTGTGGAACAACAATAATTGTTCCAATCAATATTTTCTTTCTGTTCAAGTGGCTGTCCGCACACTTGACAAGGTTCATGATACCATGATTCATTAGTGATATCATATTTTTCTATTCTGTCGCAAGACCGACAGAGTTGATGGTAATGATTTGTTCCTTCATAAACTTCATCTTTGGCTAGAGGTCTACTGCATTTGCAGCAATGAAAATTTTTCCTTCTAGTGCAGAAGTTTCTTGCCATATGATCGGTGGCAGCTTCTTGAAGTTTTCTTTTATCACAACCACAAGGTAATGGTTGTCTTTTGTATTTTAAATATGTGATTGGTACAAAGGTTGTGGTTGGCTGTTGAGTTTCATTGGTTGTTTCTATGTGAGTTGCATTTTGAGGGATGAAATCCCTGCTCCATGGGTACCAGTTATCTGATCCTGGGGCATTTCCCTCAACCCATTGGTTCCCATTATTTATCTCTTCTGGGGTGGAGCCCCAATTATCATTTTCTAATTCTTTAGGGATTTCTTCCCATTCATCGAAATTATTATTTGGTTCTGGTATTTCAATTATCTCATTGGACTCTTTATCCGAGTCCTCTGAAATTAATTCTGGGGTGGTTACTTCATTTTCAAAATATTCATATGGTTCTTCATCTTGGATTTGATCTAATCCATAATATATTTCAGGTCCCTCTTCGTCATCAAACCCGTTAACAATTTGAAATTGTCCCCATGTCTGTTCTTGATTAATTGGTTGTATGTCTGATACTTTTTCAAGACTAGGTTGTTGATTATTGTTGTTGGCATCATTAGCATCTGGTCGTTCAGGAATAGTAATTGGTTCAGATTGTAGTTTATTTCCTCTTCCCAATTTTCGGAGTACTTTACTTGCCACTTTTCTAGTTTGTCTAAATCTTTTTGCCATTTCTGAATTTCTGTTCGTATAAATTTATAAATATTTAAATAGTTTTTGATTACCTGATTATTCTTTTTATTTAAATTTCTTTGTCCGAAATTTAAAATTTCCTTTGTGGTAGGTCGTTTGTTTTTGGGTATATTTAATTTATAGTGTATTGAATGTATATAATTATTTGAATTTTCCATTCAATGGTTTTTTTATTATTTTGTTTTTTGTTGTTTTGTCTGATCTGTGAAGATTGAAAGTTAGGGAAATTCTCTCTCTTTAAATAATGTTTTGAAAAATAGATTAGAAGCGATGTTCAATCTAAAGTTTCATTCTTAGAATTCTTTTGTTTTCCCATCTTTCATCTTGGCGTCTCCCTATTTTATAATGATTGGTTCTTCTTATCATTGTTTACTTTCAATGAATCCATCTATTTTGAGTCTTCTTATCAAGGTTATTCCTTTTATGGTTTATCTTCATTTACTCTATGAGTATTTGTGCTTCCCATGCTGGTTTTCTGAAGTAACGTTTTAATCTAGCACCATTGATTGGTTTTCTCATAACCATTCCTGTTTCAATATTTCTTAATTTGTAAGTCCCATGTTTCCAGGCTTCATGAATATAGAAAGGTCCTGTCCATTTTTCTCTAAATTTGTCACCATGGACATTCTGAGAACTACTATCAAAGAGTAGTACTTCTTCTCCAATCTCATATTTTTGTGGTTTCATTTTTTCATCAAATTTTTCTTTTTGTTTATCTTGTGCTTTCTTAATATTGTTCTTTGCAATCTCTCTTGTTTTCCCTAAACGTTCTGTGATCTGTTTCACATGTTCATCAATTCGCCATTCAAGTTCTTCCTCCTCTTCTTCAAATGTTGTCTCCAACATTAAAGGAGTTTTCTCTTTCCTTCCATACATTAAAAAGAATGGTGTGAATTTTGTAGACTTTTGTGGTTTGGTTCTATAGGCAAATAAGGCTGATTGGACAAATTTATCCCATTCTCCATTATATTGTAGAATATATTTTGCAATGGTTTCGCACAATGTTTTATTAAAACGTTCTGTTAATCCATTTGTTTGTGGGTGATAAGCTGATGCAAGAGCATGTCTTATTCCCATTTCATTGCAAAGTGAGTCTACTACTTCATTCAGAAAAGATGATCCTCTATCTGAAAGTAGGACTTTTGGTGCTCCATGTCTACAAATGATTTCTTCATAAATAAATTTTGCTACTGTACTTGCTTTAGTATCTGATATGGCACGAGCTTCTGGCCATTTGGTTAAATATTCTGTTGCTACTATAATATAACGATTTCCGTTTGTTGTTTCTGTTAATGGACCAACAATGTCAATTCCGACTTGGTCAAATGGGTCTCCTACTGGTATTGGATGTAGCGCTTCTGTTCTCTTTGGCTTTCCCCGTCTTTGACAGGAATCACAACTTTTTACATATTGTTCGACTATTTTGTACATCCGTGGCCAGTAGTATTTGCTTCTGATTCTTTGGTAAGTTGATTCTACATTGAAATGTCCTGCAAGAATATCTGAATGCTCTCCAAACAGTATTCTTTCTACTTCATCCTGTCTAATTACTCTTCGTTCTTCATTGTTTTGGATAAAATATAATTTGTCATTAGATATTCGAAAATTACTTGCTTTGTTGATTATTTGCTTGCTTAATTTTGGAGGTATATTTCTTGGAGGTTGGTGATTAGTAAGATAGTGTTTAATGCCATTATATAGTTGAATTTCCATCCTGAGATATGTGGTGTTATTATTTTACTCTCTTAATTAAATGGTAGTTTATAGACTTTCCGGTCTTCTTGATAGAGCATCCGCATTCCCATTATTTATCCCAGGTTTGTATTCAACTTGATACTGAAATTCTTCCAGATTTACACGCCAATTTTGAATTCTTTTGGACCCTCCATTTGTGTTCTTTAAATGTTTTAGCGGTTGATGGTCAGTGACATGTAGAAATGGTTTTCCAAGCAAGTATAATCTAAATTCTTGGGTACAAGCCCAATGTAAAGCAAGAAATTCTAATTCAGTAGCAGAATATCTTTCCTCTGCTCCTCTTATGGTTCTACTAGCATAGGCTATTACTCTTCCTCTTCCTTCATCATCCTTTTGTTCCAGGACAGCTCCTAATCCAGTATGTGATCCATCTGTATGTAGAATAAATGGTTTATCAAAGTCCGGATATGCCATTACTGGTGCATTTATTAATAATTGTTTAAGTTTATTGAATGCTTCCTCTTGTTCTTCTTTCCATTGGAATTCCTCATCCTTTTTGACCAAATTGTACATAGGTTTGGCTATCTTTGAGAAATCCTTCATAAAACGTCTATAGTAGGAGGCTAATCCTAAAAATGAGCGAATTTCCTTCACTGTTTTAGGTGTTGGCCAATCGCAAACTTTTTCTACTTTCTTTGGGTCAGGTTGTAATCCATCTCTTCCTACTATATGTCCAAGGAATTCCAATTGTGTTTTTGCAAATGAACATTTGTCTTTTCCAAGCTTTAATCCAGCTTGTCTAAGACGTGAAAATACTATTTCTAAGTGTTCTAAATGTTCTTCAAAACTTTTTGAATATATATTTATATCATCTAGGTATACTACAACAAATCGTCCAATTTCTTTTGATAATACTTTATTCATTAATCTTTGAAAGGAAGCTGGTGCATTAGTTAACCCAAAGGGCATTCTGTTGAACTCATATAATCCATGTTTTGAAATGAAAGCTGTCTTCTTTTTATCTTCTTCGGCTACTTCCATTTGCCAATATCCACTAGCTAAATCTAGTGACGAGAAATATTTGGATCCCTCTAATGAGTCAAAGATATCAGCAATTAATGGTAAGGGGTATTTGTCTTGTTCCGTGTAGGCATTTAATTTCCTATAATCCACACAGAATCTTAACTTATTATTTTTCTTCTTTACAACTACTATAGGTGATGCCCAACTACTTGTTGATTCTCTTATTATTCCATGCTCAAGCATCTGCTGTATTTCT